TTTGCCAGCTATACAGCAGAGTCCTAATACCAGAATATACAGAAAGCTTAAGAAACTAAGCCCACAAAAATCAACTCAGTCTATCAATGGGCAAATGAGCTAAAGAGAAACTTCTCAGAAGGAGTAAAAATAGCCAGCAGACATACTAAAAAATGTTCAGTATCTCTGACCATTTACATCAAGAAATGTAAATCAAAACAACACTGAGATTCCACCTCACCCTAGTTACAATGGCCATCATTAAAAATTCGAACATGGTCAAGCACTAGTGGCTCACGACTATAATCCTAGCTACTTAGGAGGCTAAGATCAGAGGATTGTGGTTTGAAAACTGCTCAGGCAGGAAAGATCAGGAGACTCTTATCTCCAGTTAACCATCAGAAAACAGGAAGTGAAGCTGTGGCTCATAAAAAGGGGTAGAGCACTAGCCTTGAGCAGAAAAGCTCAGGTACAGCACCCAGGCCCTGAGTTCAAGCCCCATGACCCACAAAAACAAAAAAACAATGAGATGTTGAGGAGGATATGAACAAAAAAATGGAAACCCAGTACACTATTGGTGGGAATGTAAACTTGTTCAACCACTCTGGAAAGCAGTATGGAGGCTCCTCAAAACAAAACAAAACAAAAATTAAATATAGAACTACCCTGTGATCCAACAATTCTACTCTTAGGCATTTATCCAAAAGATTACAAACTAGGATACAGTAAGGCCACCTGCGCAACCATGCTCATTGCAGCACTATTCACCATTGTCAAGGTATAGAATCAGCTCAGATGCCCTTCAGTGGACAAATGGACAAGAAAATGGACAGATGGACCAAAAAAATGTGGCATATATACACAGTGGAATTATACTCATTCATTAGAATGATATTGAGTCATTAGCAAAGAAATGGAAAGACCTGGAAAAAAATGTCAAGCAAGTCAGGCCTAGAAGGACAAAGAATGTGTTTTCTCTCATACATGTAAACTAGAATTAATTTATAAATATACATTTTGGGTTGGTATCCAAGTGCAGATAAGGGTATTAACCCAAATACGGTAGTTTCAGGAGAGAACTCAAATGATGTAATTCCTTAGAAGGACTATCCTAGAGTCCAACAAAATAACCATCAGGAAAGGTACTCAAAGGGAAGGGGGATCAGTGGCAGGAGGCAGATGAATGAAGAAAGGGGAAATGATGCAGTCATAAGATGCAATGCCTGTCCTATACAATTAGGAAAATTGAGGTAGTAGGGGTGGGGTGGGAAGGTTGGGGGAAAGTGATGAAAGGATTGACATTGATCAAGACTCACTGTATTCATCGATTGAATACACTGAATTCAACAATTCATTGTTGAGGGGCAAGCTCTTTGGTACAACTACTTACAGGTAAGCTAAGCTTTCTTTTAAACAAAACATTGCAGTAGAAGGGATAAAATATCTCCCTCCAGCAAGACAGTGTAATGGAAACTCAGTTTTTGGTCCTGAATACAAATCTCATCCATTTATTTATGGTGACACTGTCATTCTCTACCTCCTTTCTGTACCCTTAAAACATATGACCTGCTTCCTACCAACACACACACAAAATCTGAGTCTTTACCCCTACTAAACCATCTTCATCTTTAAAGCCTTGCCATGAGTCATCTTAAGTTTCTAACCTTGGTGAAACTAGGGGACACTAGAGAGGCAAGCAGCTCAGACAGCGGCTGAGGCCACCTGCTCCACTGAAGGGTAAACAGGACCCAAAAAGGGCTACAGAAAGGGTTCCTCGCTTCCTTAGATCCCTAACTTCTCTATGTCTCCATGCAAACCCTGGTCTATCAGACATCCTGTGCCTAAAGACCCAGAAAACATCAGGGTTCAAAAAGACCACAAAGTTGTTGTTGTTGTTTTTAATGAGCTAACTCTTTAAAGCCTAATTCCTCTCTCTAAGCTCTACTTGGTTTTCTGGTTGGGAAACACTAACTTGAAAATTCTAACTTTCCAGCTCAAAAATTATGTACCTACCCTGGCCATTTCCATCCTTGATGGTATCTACAAACCTATTTCACTCACTCCATGTGAGCACTCATTCAGAATCTTATTATTTTGTGTATGTGTCAGTACTAGGCTTTGAATTCAGACTGAGTGCTGTCGCTTAGTTCTTTGCTCAAGGCTGGTGCTCTGCCACTTGGGCCACACCTCTACTTCCTGAATCATCTTAATCCCATGCTCCCTATTCTTTTTAAAAATTATTGAGGTCTCTAGGGTCCTTTTGTTTATGTGGATTATGTGCACCCATACTAGAACATTGGAAATTAAAATGGAAACCATTAAAAATAGTTGTTTGTTACTATGCTCACTCCTTTAAAAATTAAGCTTGTAATTACAATATGGTTCCTGAATTCTGAATATGTCCCTAACAAATGGAAATACTAACTCAAAGATGGTCCATAACAATATTATTCACAGTAGCTAAGAGGTAGAAACAATCCTGATGTCTTTGCATGGATGAATAGACAGAATGTCTAGGATTACATGTCTAGGATTACAAGTGTGCTCCAGCATCCGGCATCAAGTATTTTTGAATAACATGAATTGTAGGAATAACAACATATATAAATATACTCACAAATAAGAACTAAAGTTCATTTAAATGTTTCAGTTTTTAAAAATTTTGTAACTCAAACTCATAAGTGCTTTTCTTCTAAATAGCCGTCTTACTTCAGTATGCAGAAGTGACTTGTGTGGACAGAATATTATAAAGATGCGTATTCATATTTAATAACATTAATAATTATTTCCTAATTCTTCAAGGACACTCAAGTAACATTCCTCACTGTGACTATACAGTGGTAGCAAATAAGCACCACAGACTTCTAAGTAGAGTCAGTATCAGTTCCTTGATTTGCATATTAGTGATAGGCTGCAAATTGCTAATTTGCATACAATGTGGTATAAAAGTTTGCACAATAAACAATGCAAAAAAGAATTCATTATTGTTGTTATACAATACCTTTGCTCAAGAATGGTCTTAGAAACCATCAGAGATCCATAGATCATATTTTAAGAACCAACCACTGCACTATGGGCTAGAGACATGGCTCAAGTGATAGAGTACTTACCTAGCAAGCATGAGACCCTGGGTTCAAATCCCAGTATTGCTGAAATAATAAAATTAAATAAAGTTAAATAAAATTGAATATTGTACAGAACGACCACTTTCAATGTGTTTGTACAGCAGATTTCCTCTTCTTGTGTAATTTATTTTTAAAAAGGATCTTGTTAATCAGGTGCTGGTGGCTCATGCCTGTAATCCTAACTACATAAGAGAGTGAGATCTGAGGATCGTGATTCAAAGCAAGCCCCGGCTGGAAAGTGTGTGAGAGTCTTATCTCCACTAAAGTACCCAAAGAAAGGCAGAAGTGCAGCTGTGGCTCAAGTGGTAGAGTGCTAACCTTGAGCAAAAGAAGCTCAGGAACAGCGCCCAAACCCTGAGTTTAAGCTCTAGGTCTGGCACTCACACTCACACTCACAAAGATCTTGTTACTAAATCATGGTTTAACCTGGTATGTCTTACTGTATTGTCCTTTTGTTATTGTTCTGCTGTATGTGTGTATGTGTGTATATGTGTGTTTGTGTGTACATGTTGCTGGGAATTGGGCCCAGACCCTGTTTAGGCAAGCATTCAACTATACCCTCAACTCACTATCCTGCTTTGACTAAAATTTTATAAATAACTTAGATGGCTAGTGAATTTAGTTTGCTTTTGGTGTAACAAGTGTTTTTAGGAGTTCTAGAAACCTTCAAGTATTGAAAATGTTTAGAAAGAATAACTTGTTTTAAATTGTGTTTTCTTGGAATCATTTCCTTTTGCATAATGAAGCTTTTAAAGTCCTTCCTGGGAATCATAGACTTTTCAGTTGAAAATAATTTTATGTATTTCCTTAGTTATTTTGAGAGGAAATTAGCTTGAAATGGTAGAACATAGTTTGGTGATATAATTTTATTGGTAATAATTAATGTCAAGGTAATAGGAGACAAAAACAAATAAGACCTGGTCCTTTTCTTGAATTTAGTCTAATCAAAAAGATAAATGATCTGAATATCATATTGTAATCTGGTACATGCTATAACAGAGAAACATAATGTTCTAACCTATCTATCTTCCTTCCTCTTCTTTTCTCTCCTTTCCTTTCCCTTCATTTTCCTTTTCCCTTCCCTTTCCCTTTTCTCTACCCTTTTCCTTCCCTTCCCCTCTCCTCCCTTCCCTTTTCCCCTTTCCCTGAATGTTCATAAATTACTCCTTTCCTTTCCTTTCCTTTCCCCTCTCTTTTTCTCTCTTTCTCTTTCTTCCTCACCCTCCCTCCTTCCCCCTTTCTCTTTTTCTTTCTTTCTCTTTTTCTTTCTTTATTTCTTTCTCTCTCTGATTCTCTTTCTTTCTTTCTTTCCCTCCCTCCCTCCCTCCCTTTCTTCTCTCTCTCTTTCTTTCTTTCTTTCTTTCTTTCTTTCTTTCTTTCTTTCTTTCTTTCTTTCTTTCTTTCTTTCTTTCTTTCTTTCTTTCTTTCTTTCTTTCTTTCTTTCTTTCTTTCTTTCTCCCCTTTCTTTCTCCCCTCTTTTTCTGTTTCCCTTTCCTTTTTTTGGTGGTACTCCCCAATGCCACCAACTCATGGCCCATTCTGGCCCACTTGCTAGCTTACTAGACTGGCATTTTGTGGAGATATTGGATATAATATTAAAAGAACATATTTATAACATCAAAATCTTCTCCTAGTGAGACCTTAAAAATGTTAAGTGTTCATAAGTTACACATTTTTTTGTGAGTGGACTGCAGGGTACCACCACAGATCTTTTATTTTAAAAGTAGGTGAGAAAAATCTTCTGAGCTATTCTTGATGTGTCTTAAAATGCTTTAAATCTCAAAGTAAAATTTTCAAATAGTACTCACATTTATATGTTCTTAAAAATCTTTATTAGCAACATGTATGAGCCCAAATGATTTACTTGTTATCTCTTCTTCCTTTTCTAAAAACCAGGCCAGTCTTCAGAGACCTGAGATTAGACTTGAATCACTAAAAGAAGATATTAAGGAATTCTTTAAAATATCAGGTTTGTATTTTTCTCCTTAGCTTTTAAGTATCTCCAGATTTTAGTTAACTCATCCAAAATTGTAAAACTGTGGTTGAATAGGTTTCTCTTTGGACAGAAATAGAACTATAAGACATCAGTAAAATGGTACTGAAATCCAGGAACATTGTTGGAATGACTGTTTTGAAATAATCAGTTTTAAATATTGTTTATTCTCTGGATCAAAATACATCTCAAATGTGGCAAGTATTTGCTTCACTAAGCAACTTTTCTTTGTACTTTTCAATTGTGGCTTTTTCCCCCTCATGCATTGTTTTTCCTGTGTCTTTACTATGCTTTCAAAAAAAACCCCACAGACAACAACAACAACAGCAACAAAAATTGTAACTTCCTACACCAAGCTCTGCACCTGGATCTGTGATACTGAATAGAAGTAACTCAGAGGAATGGCCACTTTATGGACCAGTGAATTATCACTACTTATTTTGGCTCTGTCTTTGGTTCTTATTACCCTCCTCCCTGTTCAGAGCATCAGTAGTAAAGTAATAAAAGATTTTGGTATTCATTGATGACTTTGCTCCTCACTATTAGCCAATGTTTTTGGTGATTGTGGAGGAAGTACCAGCTGACAGAGTATTTGTATCTGACAAAGTTCTTTCACAAATGATTCTCAAGATTTAGTGAGTTAAATTTAATTATTGTGCATGTTCATATAAAAGCCAATATACACTTACTTTTATTTTTTTCCCTTTAAAAACAGGTTGGGAGAAGAAACTTCAGAATGCTGTTTATAGTGAACTCAGTGTGTGAGTTTTTTTCCATCTGTTTTTCAATGTTGTTTTCTTGTTACATTTACTTTGTAAGTAATAACATCAGTATTGTCATGTATACGTATTACATTATTTTTCATTAGTATGTATATAACATTTTAAGTAAATTATAATTCAGACTTACTGCTTTCTTGCTGAGAATTAATAATTTTGATTTTTTAAACACCATATATTATCAGTTCATTCATTCATCCAGTGTAATTAAAGCATTTCTCTTAATATTTTGGATAAGTTACTAACCGAAGCATACTAACATTCTTTTTATTGTTGCAGTTTTGAATATTATACCTTTTTCTATCCTTAAAACTGAACATTCTAAACACAATTGCCTTTTTTCTTTGTAAAATTGGTGTCATTATTAAGAACCTCAGTGTTTCTGTTTATTTAGATTTATCAGGGTCATTTTACCATTACAAAATATAGAGAGAACATTTGCTTTGTGCTTTATTCAACACCCCATTATTTATCAGCTATTCATTGGATTCCTATCATATGCCAGCACTATGGAAGGCACTAGTATAGTATAGAAAAATAAGTAGAATTCCTGTTCTCACTCTTCTGTTACACTTTGGACCAGCGGTTTTATGAGAAGTCAGCTTGTGGTTCTCCATTACGGGAAGCTGATTGCGCTACTGCACGTATAAGTCCTATGACTAATTTTGATAGGAGTTATAAGTGGTTGCAAAAGAGATTATTGAACCATTATACTTTCCCAGTATTTCCATATGTGATTTCATACAAGTCTGAACATCAGTCATTATTTTCCATCTGTTCTGCCTTTTTTTACTCTACAAACCTCCCAAACATACCCACCTTAGAGTCTTTACTTCCTGTTTCTATACCTGGAATATTCTTTACCAGATCTTTGTATGATTTGTTCCTTCTAATTCATGTTTTAGTCCAATAATCTGATTATAGTTTCCTGAATAGCTAGTATTACAGATGTGAGCCACCATGACTAGGTGAGGATAGTGTCTTAATCATTAGTGTACACTTGATACCTAGAAAGGCTCATGTACTTATTGACTAGATGCATTTTCTTATTAACACCATATATATATATATATATACACTATATATTTTGAGTATAAAATAATGTTATAAGAAAATAGAATTTATAATAATTAAAAATTTAAATTTTAGGGCTGGGAAGGTGGCTCAGTGGTAGAGTGCTTGCCTTGCATGCATGAGGCCCTGGGTTCGATTCCTTAGCATTACATAAGCAGAAAAAGCCAGAAGTGGTGCTGTGGCTCAAGTGGTAGAGTGCTAGCGTTGAGCTGAAGTGCCGAGGAACAGCGCCCAGGCCCAGAGTTCAGGCCCCATGACCAACAAAAATAAATAAATAAATAAATAAATAGATTTTATTACATTTGTAAATTTATGTATTATATATTAAAACATGGCTCTTTTCAAAAGTGGTGTTAATGTTATAATTTCAGTTATGTAAAAATATAATCACGTATTCAAGGAAATTGGAGAAATAAAATTAGTTAATATATTAATGGATTTTTAACCTTTAAATTCCTCTGAATTTGTCATATTTGTATGCAAAAAGCAATAGTTAAAAGTTCCATGAAGCCAAATGCTGGTAGCTCACACCTGTAATCCTAGCTATTCAGTAGGCTGAGATCTGAGGATTCTGGGTTGGAAGCCAACCTGGGCAGGAAACTCCATGAGAATTATCTCTAATAAACTACTCAAAAAAGCTGGAAGTGGCACTGTGGCTCAAGTGGTAGAGCACCTGCCTTGAGCAAAAGAAGCTTAGGGATAGTGCCCAGGCCCAGAGTTCAAGATCGAGCACCAGCAAAAAAAAAGTTTCATGATTATTTATAATAGGATAGTTATATAAAGATTACTTCATTTTATGAAGTCAGTCTATAACACATTTAGCTTTCAACATATTATTACAGTTTTAACCTAGCATTTCTTCGTGAGTATAAACTGGATATGGTATGTGCCTGCAATCTCAGACTTGGAAGGTTGAAACAGGAGAATCAAGAGTTCCAGGCCAGCCTAGAGAGAAAGGGGTTTTGTCTAAAATAAACAATAGCATGATAAGAACCAAATTTTCATAGGTCTTTGTATCTGGGTAAATACATCAAGCCGCTAACAAGTTCTATTTCATTTATAACACAGATGCAGAGATATATAAACTCGTGCCCAGAGGACTAAGTATCAAGAGTAATGTATGATATTTAGCTATCTCTATTTGCTTCTAGGTGTCCTTTACCAAGCCATCCTGCTGCACCTCCTGAACATCTGAAGGAGCCCTTGGTGTACATGAGAAAAGCACAGGTTGGCTAGTGTTTATTTTCCTTTTATTTTCCCATTCCAAGTAATGTAGAGTAAGGTTCTTATTGATGTCAGGAGTATATATTACTCATTGTATAAGAGACCAGATGAGAATCTCTTCAGTGATGTAATTAGTACTTGCACACTTTTCCTTTTATTTTCAGTAACCAAGGATACTATAATTGACTTTAGTAACCTGGAAAAAAGTTGAATAGAAGGGAAAGAAATCACATACCATTAATTTTCCCTATTCTGAAATTTAAAACATAACAAAAGCATTATATGGCAGTCTATTTCCCATGGCCTGTGATAGTAAAATATGAATGCACCAGCACCTTCTTCTTTTAAAACTTAGCCTTTGAAGCCAGCACTACAGATACTGTCTTTAAAATACATTTGATTTCACAGCAGGCTTTCCTTACTAATGAGATGGTAGCAACTAAAAGATCAGTTCAAAAGAATGAAACAAGCCGGGTGCCCATGGCTCATGCCTGTACAACTCCTAGCTACTTAGAAGGCTGAGATTTGAGGATTGCAGTTTGAAGCCAGCCCGAGCAGAAAAGTCCTCATGAGACTAACCTAAAAAACAACAACAAAAACCAAAATACCAAAAATCTTCCAAACCCATAGTAGAGCTGTTGCTCAAAGTGGTAGAGCACAAGGCTTAAGCAAAATGAGCTTAGGGGCAGTGCCCAAGTCCTGAGTTCAAGCCCCATGACCAATCAAAAAGAAAAGAAAAAGAATGAAACAAAGTGTTTGAAACAGAAAATTACACAAAGCTGCTAAAATAGGAATTTGGTGTCTATTACACACTCTTGAGTCCTGTAACCTTTCCTCCCCTGGCACACTGCTCATGAGCCTTCTCCCAGTCCTTGCATAGGGCTGTGCAACTGCTGAGATGCACTTGGGTATCAGAGTTGACTTCAGACATTAATTGTAAAAAAGCTCAAATATATCCTAAATAACTCCCATGAACCTGTCACTTAGCCTATCACACTTATCATCAAGGTTTTGTGGCTCTTGAAAATTTTGTTACTGTAAGATTTTTATTTTCCAACTTCAGTTTAGTTTAAAAAAATTAAATCAATACAATATAAACAAAAGCATGGAGGTATTTGAGGAAATACACAATATATTTCTGTTGCTAGCTGTTATCCAGAGTGTCACATATTAGTTAGTTTTGCATAGCTGGGGCCAAAATACCAAACCGAAACAGTCTAAGGAAAGAAAGATTTATTTTGCTCCTGGTTTTAGAGGTTCAGTCCATGGTGGAGTGGCTTCACATGGTGAGTGTCATGGTGGCAGGAGTTTGTGATGTGAGGTGTAATCTTCAAGGCATACCTCCAGTGACAAAGTCCCTCTAGTGAGGCCCCAGCTCCTAAAGTTTTCAGAATCTCCCAAAATAGTGACACCAGCTTAGGATCAGTGTCTAATAGCTGAGCCTACAGGGGATATTGCATATTCACATCATAACAGACCAGATAATATTTATTAATTTGTCATAAAAACAAAAGAGGTAAGTAATATGTAAGTAATATTGTGAGGCCTTTTGTTGTAAAACTTCCAATACAACAAAATAAAACTACAAAGACTGGTCTAAATATTTTCTTTGGAAATTCTAGCAAATATAGAAAAAAACATATGTTTTAGCATAATAAGTGTAAGGAACAAAATAAAGATTTTCTATCATGACTGAAGAGGTATGATAATCTGTTGATGGCAGAGTCTTGCTGGATGGATGGCATCCCTCTCTTTTCTATCCAGACTTTCCTACTGGATCTGAGATCAGCACAATAGCCCCCTGGCTAAGTCTGCTTGCCAATAATTTTTATAGGCTGACAAAGGAAGAGCTTTAAAATACATTTCTAGCCAGTTAAACCATCAAAATAAGAATAACAAAAGCATATAACCTTGCACATCAGCAGGGTAGTCTAAATTGCAGACTTATCAGCCAAAATGTTGATGAGTTATAGTGTAACCTAAATTCTTATACTTCAGTAGTGGGAACGTAAAGTGCTACACACTTTGGAAAAAATTTGTCACTTCCATATGAAAAGAAACATGTATGTCTAAAGCCTACAAACAGATATGTCCTCATATCTTGGCTCTACAGAAAAACTCACATAAGAATATTTTTAGAGCTGTATGCATATGAGCCCAAACTGCAACTAGCCCAGTGTTCATTAATTGGAAAATAATGAGCTTTTTTTTTTTTTACAATAGACTATTATTGTGAAAGAAGGAGAAACACACTATTGATATCCTCAGTAATAGGAATAAACCCCCAAAGATTATACTGAATAAAAGAATGCTTATACACTCAGTGTGTGCAGTACATTGATATGAAGTTCTAGAATGGAGAAAATCTATGCTAGAAAATTTCAGAACAGTGACTGAGTCTGGTAGTTTGAGAGTAGAGATTTTGTTGTGGGTATAGTCATTTGTGGTGTCCTGATAACGGTTTAAGCTAGATCTTATGGATTGAAATACTTAGACTGTGTATTTTGTTTTACATTAATTTTCCTTCGAATGAAAAAAGAGGAGCCCCAAAATGCTAAACTCTACTTCATGATACATATTCAAGTATTTAAGGGAAAGTATGTTATGTCTACAACTTGTTTTGAAATGCAAACAAAAAGAAGATGGATCGTTAGGTATAAAGAAAGATGCACAGACGGTCAGAATTTAGGTTGTATGCATATGCACATTCAGTGAAGTTTTTCTTCTAATTTTTTCTGTTTTTGGAAATTTTATAATAAGCTATAGGGAGAAAGAAATAATAAATAATGACCAAAAAAGACCATCTTGTGGCACAGAAAAATTCTGCATTAATAAAACATTTTACTGGGAAATAGCAGTATACATTCATTATACATTATTAGGGCTGTATTTGCATTGTTAAGCAGTTATAATAGAAACTGTATGGCCTGAGAAAACCCTAAAATATTCTACTTTCTGCTCTTTTACAGATGCCTTTCAAGCCCAGCCTAAATTATTCATTTTTTAAGAGCAGTGTCTGCTTTTCTGCCTTCAACATTGAGCATAGCCCACATATCACTTTGGATAAATATTTGAACTACTTGATTCTTTAACCACAGTCATACTCATTACTCCTGTCTCAGCCAGAACTTTCCTTGCTGTGACAAATTTCTGAAAGAACAACTTAGAGGAGGAAGTTTTGTTTTAGTTTGCAGTGTCGGAGGTTTAAGTCCATGGTCAATAGCTTCACTGCTCTGGGCAGTGGTGGCACATAGAAGGTGTGGAGGATCAGAGCTGCTTATCTCCTGGTGGGCAGGAAGCAAGGAAAAGGAGAAGCACCACCTCTCAGTATGCCATCTAGTCATAAATTCATCAATGGGTTAATGCCGTGATTAGGGCACAGCCCTCAGTATCCAGTAGCTTCCCAGAAGCCCATCAGTTTTCAGTCGTGTCCTTAGTACATGCACCTATGGCAGGGGGAGAGGGTAGATTTCATATTCTAACTGCAGTGCTCTTCTGCCAGTTAGTGTTTGCGTGTTTTCCTGCTTTTGTTCTCTTTGGAACATCCAATTTTTGTATTCCAACCATAATACTTTACTGCCCATTCATGTCTGTCGTCCTGCATTTGTTCTCCATGAGACATCCAGTTATACCCTTCCCTGTTCTCTTGGGCAGCCGTCTCCTCATCACCTGAGAGCTGTTTAGTCTGGATCTTTGCTATTCATTGCACTTTGTAATCTCTTCCTCCCTTGACTTCTCTCTTGTGTGCCTTTCTAGTCCCCACCCTCAACCTGCTTTTATCTTGTAATCTTCTTCCAAGCTGTGGGCCACGTTTTTTGTTTTTGTTTTTTGGAGGGGAAAATCACATAATTCTATTAGTCTAAATTCGTTTATTTACTTGTAATAGTTTTTTTGCTGTCACTACACTTTTGCACTCATTATGTAATATCTGCCTTCTATTTAGATTGTTTTTAAGTTATTCTGTGTTTGAGAAGCTCTGAATTCTACCCATCTCACACATTTTCAACATTAGCCACTTTATTTATTTTTTTATTTTTTATCTTTTTTGGGTTCGGTCGTGGGTCCTGAACTCTGGGCCTGGGCACTGTCCCTCAGCTCTTCAACTCAAGGCTAGCGCTCTACCACTTGAGCCACAGCGCCACTTCCGGCTTTTTTCTTTTTACTTATGTGGTGCTGAGGAATCGAACCCAGGGCCTCGAGCATGCAAGGCAAGCGCTCTACCACTGAGCCACCTTCCCAGCCCCTCAACATTAGCCACTTTATTGCAAATATCCTGGGAGACATTGATCAAGATGCATTGTATTTATAAACTGCTTTGTTGAATAGCAACTCCTTTGTCTAACTACTAAGATAATAAAATATATTTTTTAAATGTGTTGATTGTTTTACCCAAGTTTCCACAGCTCCCCTCTTTGGAGCCATATCTCTTTTTGCCCTTGCACTCTGTGACTGGCTGTCTTCTGTGAGCTCAGACACAAGATGTTTAACACTGGCTGATTGTGTTCTTAAAGTGAGCATTTCTTCCTGACTCCTTGTTTCTCTTAAGTATCCTGATCGCTATTACAGCAATTTAGATCTGAGACATCTTTCATCTCAGTTTTCACATATACATAGTTACTGAGGTCTATAAATAACTTTTGTCTGTACTGTATTCCTATAGTCTTCTCTTTTCATTACCAAGGCTATTACTGTGTTGATGTTGATGATGTTATTAATGAAGGCTTTCTCTTCCTCCCTCCCTCCCTCCTTCCCTCCCTCCCTCCCTCCCTCCCTCCCTCCCCTCCCCTCTCCTTTCCTTTCCTTTCCTTTCCTTTCCTTTCTCTCTCTTTCTCTCTTTCTTTCTTTTCTTTTCTTTTTTGTCATGGGGCCTGAATTCTGGGCCTGTGCGCTCAGCTTAAGGCTAGTGCTCTACCACTTGAGCCACAGCACCACTTCCAGATTTTTCTGTTTATGTGGTGCTGAGAAATCAAACTCAGGGCCTCATGCATGCAAGACAGGCACTC